TTATGCTATATTATAATCTAGGGACTACTGCGATATAAAGCCAATTCTCCCTAAACTAAATCGCCCCAGATTACTCAGCATTCATAACTAATTAATCTACTATTTCCTTAAAAATTGTCACGTATCAGCCAGCCAGCTCATGCCTATAATCCCAGCACTTTGGGAGGCCAAGGCAGAAGGATCACTGGAGGGCAGATGGAAACCAGCCCAGGCAACACAGTGAGACTCCATCTCTACAAAAAAACAAAAATATTAGCTGGGTGGTGGCATGCACCTGCAGTCCTAGCTACGCGGGACGCTGAGCCAGGAAGATCGCTTAAGCCCAGGAGTTAGAGGTTATAGTGAGCTATACTTATGCCACTGCACCCCAGCGTGGGCGACACAGTGAGATCCTGTCTTTTTTTTTTTTTTTTTAAGTTGTCAGGTATCATTTCTCAGCGTTTCAGCTTCTAGTAGCCCCTTTCTACTACAAATGTCAGTAGGACACCTAGTTGTCATAATGTGCCAATTACAGAGCTTTGAGCCACTATACTTGCAATGGAATATACCTTAGCACAATCCTGTTTCTGTATAGACTAGATGCTAAGAAACAAACGAAATGCTTTAAGCACATGGAATAGGTTATATTCCTACTAATTTACTCAGTGAAGAAATTATTTGAAATTCTACCGTGTGCCAGGCTAACCTGAATACCAAAGATACCGCAGTGAGCAAACCAAACGCTGGCACAAGAAGAGCCCTTGTTTTCAGGGAGATTTCATTCTATTTTTATTGGAGAAATACGAGCAAGAGAGCTAACAGATAATATGAAAAGTAGTGAAAAGTGGTAAGACAAAAAATAAAGCATGATCAAAGGACACAGAATGAGAAGGGAGATATTTTAGGGTAGTCAGAGCAGTCATTTCTAAAACACAGACCTCAGAGCAGGAAGCATGGAGGAGGGAGGAACGCGAGCCAGGCAAGTATCTGAAGGGACACAGTGACTGCAGGAGGAGAAAGGGCAAAGGCCCTGGAGACAAAATGGGCTGGCATATTCCACACGAGCAAGGATACCAATGAAGCCGAAGTACAAGCTCCAGGAGCTTAGCAGGTAACATCAGATACTCCCTATACACAACAAGTAGATTAAGTCACATTACACAAATAGATACACACTTATACACTCCCTAAAAAGGGCAGTGAAGGTGATCAATTATGAAAATCTCATGTCTATCAATCTATAACTTATGAAAAAACTAGAAAAGGTTTTCTTATATTAAATTATAATTGAAAAATCTACAAGTCAGCGGCCGGCTAAAAATTAAACAGTTCCAGTGGTCGATGAGTTTACAGGTTCATAAGGCAGAACACATAAATGGGTCTCAGAGGAAGAAGTTGTGTATCAGGCCAGGGGCCAACAGAAAGGCCCACTCTGAGCAGACCTCACATGGACCTGTCCAGACCGGAAGCACCAGAGAGAAGGGCTGGGCTCTGTACTTGACATTGACATCATCACATACAGCGAACAATGTGATAGACATATCATACACATCAAAAACGACTAGCTGTACCGAAAAACAATAGCAGCAAAAACAGATAAAAAGACAAGGAAAGAAATCTACCTTGAGACCTCAAAATAATTTCTATTTCATAATAAAACAGCATCACAAGCAGTCCCCAAAGTATACGTATTGGGTCTATACAACACATCAGTGCTTCTGCTGCTATGGCCCTTCAGCCCCACCCAAACTCCAGCACTGGGTTGATTCACAGATGTCACATTCAACCCTTACAGTAACACTGCAAGAACCGATACAGTGTCACAAATTCAAAACTGGGCTTCCAACTTCCAACTCTGGTCTACCTACACGTGTTCTTTCTATTACACTCAGAAACAGAAAATCAAATACCACGTGTTCTCACTTGTAAGTGGGAACTAAACAATGGGTATGCATAGACACACAGAGTGGAATAACAGACACTGCAGACTCCAAAATTGACGTCCCTAACCCCCAAGCCACAGAGCTCCATTGTCCCCCTACTCCCCACAGAAAAATTGTCTTCCATCAAAGTTAGGAACAGGGTGGGGGGCGGTTAAGGGGTGAAGCTTCATAGCTTCGTCTGTATTTACAGCCACTCCCCATCGTTCATATCACTGCCTGAACTCTGCCTCCCCACCACCCCCAAGCCCTGGTCCGTGGAAAAATTGTCTTCCATGAAATCAGTCCCTGGGGCCAAAAAGGATGGGGGCTACTGCTCCAAAAGGTGGGAAGGGAGTGAGGGGTGAAAAATTACACATTAGGTCCAACGTGTACTATCTGGATGATGGGTACACTGGAAGCCCAGACTTCAACCACTATGAAATATATCCACGTAACAAAACCGCACTGTACCCTCTAAACCTATAAAAATAAATTTTAAAAAAGAAAGAAAATATATTAATGATTTAACAAAGTCTCATAAGAAACATTCAAGCTAGTTTTGAATTACCCTTAAGGGCCATTAAAATTAGATTCCTCTTGTCATTCACCTGTGAATTCAGCAGAGGCTGAAGATGTTCAGGTGTGAAAGTACCCTCTTCATATATTCATATTCTCTCAAATTATAAACTGACTCTTTACACTGTACTATCGTTAGAGTAAATGAAACACTTAAAGAGTAGTTTGGTTTCACATGGAAACCGTTACCAAGACAAACCTCCTTGTAAGCTGGAGTTCCAAGAACATTAAATCATAAGAAATTGTTTCAGCAGCTGGTTAAAGCTGAGTGTACATAATACAAGACATCTGGCTGTCTGTGCATTTTCAGTTAATTTAAAAGGTATAAACACATTAAAACACTGAAATGTTTGATATATTACATTATCTGCCTGCTCCTTGAGAGTGTTTAAATGGCTGCTCTATTTCTTGTGTTTGTGGCTTATTTACCATCTAAAGGTATCTACTATTTCCATCTCCCTTAACGTCACCGAAACATAATATCAATAAAGGCAAAAAAAAAACAAGAAAAAAACCAAACAGAATGTACTCATTTAGGATATATACTAAATTGCTGCTAGTATTTGGTAATGAAAAAAATGTAATCAGAGGTGGTGCTATTTCTAAAATTAAATCAGGAACATATGAGGCACCTCACATACCATGACAAGAAGGCAGTACATGTTATATGTGTTCCCCTCTCCCTCATCTGACCATATGTTTAAAAAACCTAACCATAGTGGCTTAACCAAGATAGCTATTTATTTTTCCCATGTAAGAAAAAATCCAAAGATATCGGATGCAAGGTGAGTACAACAGTTTCACAATGTCATCAATATCCCATGCTCCTGGGACATTATTCTTCGCATGTGGCACTCATGATAGTTTCAAGATGGCCCAAGCATTGCCTCCACATTCCAGGAAGGAAGAAGAGAGAGCAATAAGCAAAAGGCTGAAGGGGCATGCTTTGCAAGTTCATGACTTCTGCTTGCATAAACTTGACCCAAACTATGTCAGGTGGCCACATGTAGCTGCCAAGGTATCTCAAAACTAAGCTGGTTACACAATGCCACCCCGAACGATATTGGAGTTCCATTAGAAAGGAAGGGGAGAAAGGATATTGGGTGTGTAAATAGCTGTGTCTGTCACAAGAGTTCAATTTGAATGGGAAACTGTCCGCTGTGCCCTTCCCTATCAGATGGCTGCTCATTTGTCTCAGCCCTACCTTCGAAGCTGCACACCACCAGACCAAACCGCAACAGGGCTTACTGGATCTCATTTCTAAATCTACATTAAAATTCTGGATGCTGCATTCATGTACAATAGAAGTCAGGAGCCCATTTTCTCATGAATACCTATCTTTCCTGTGGGGGCCATAAGCAAATAGCATATTTCCAACCACATTCCCATGTAGATCGAGATTCTGTGATGATAAACCTTAAAATCTACTTCTTTATTTCAAAAATAATTCCTTTTAAATATGCATTCTCAACAGGGGATGAAAATTGGTTCTTCAGGGATAAAAAAAATGTTTAGATATTATAATGGTTGGTGGCCCTCTAAAGGGCCACAGTACATCAACAGATATTCAGTGTGTCAGGGGTATTTAATTTCATTAGAGAGGAGAGGCAAGTATGAAAGAAATGTCTAACAAGGCTTCTCAGGGAGACAATTTTTTTAAAAAAGGTTGAGAATCACTGCATTAAAAATAACAAATGAGATGAACATTTTGAATGACATAGGAGTTGCAATGAGCTGCAGTGACAGAAGCTCAGTTACAGTAGTGTAAACAAATAAGGATCTATTTTTGTCACATGAGCAGTCTGGGGTGAGGGAGGGGGATGGGTAGTTGTTGACTTTGGTTCAGCAGCTCAAAGACGTCAAAGCAGAATTTTCTGTGAGTCTCATGGTTCCTGGTGCCAAGATGGCCACACAACTCAAAAGACCTTGTCCACATTCCAGACAGCAGGAAAAAGAACTGTTGAGAAGAACGAAAAGATACGCCTCCTAGCTGAGTCAGTTCCCTTTAAAGAGCTTTATCCAGAAGTATCATTAAAGGACCTTCCCCTACATCTTACTGACCACACCTAGCTTCAGGGAAGGCTGGAAATGGAAATCTGGCCTCTACAAAAGAGGCCAGAAATAAAATAAGGAAGTCAAGAAGAAAGGGGGAACAAATATTAGGTGATCAACTAGCTGTGTCTACCACACATAAACTAGATTGAAATTGCTTCTCAAACTCTTGTTTCCAGAGATCTGATCTGTAAGGCCTCTTATTACAGAGATTAATCTAATTCTGTGCCTACCATATGCTTAATAATATTACTAAAGAGTTTATTTTCCCCTTAACAACATACCATTTTGTTTTGATGATGGATAGGCAGAGTCTAAATGTTATTAGGCAAGAGAAAGAAAACATGGATATATAATCTTTAAAAGACACACATGAAAGTACTACACCAGAACCCACAAACTCTTCAACATGATCAATTATCTCCAATATGTAAGGAAGATATAACAAATCCTGGCTTAGCCAGAACTTACAAGAGTGGAATATCAGTGATTAACTGCATCAAACAGCAGAGCAATTCTTCCAAAAGATCTTCTGAGTCAGAACCTGGTAAGACACATAGAAAGTTTTTTAACAAAATATACAGTAGAATGGAGTTGTTTAGAAGTTACATTTTCATTCTTATTGAGAATAAAAAGTTATGATTACATAAACTCAGACACTAACGTTGATCTCAGAATAAAATCCAAATCATGAGCAAGTTAGCATCTATTATGATCTTTATCTAGGATAGGAACTTTCAACACCAGCTATTAATAAGATAGCTTTCAAAGCCTGAAGGTACTTAGGGCTCCTATAGGCCGGTAGTTTTCAAATTTCTTATACGGAACTATGTTTCTTTCAATGAAATCTTATATTAAAGTCAAATATATAAAACAGATAAAAATCAAGCTTCTCTAGTGGCTTTGTTTGAAGCAGGGTAGAGGACCTATACCTTCCCCCCTCTATAAATATCTGACCTTACCCTTGATCTTTGTGATGGGCCTCAAGGCACCTTTTATGAACCCCTGGGGCTCCACAGACCACAGGCTAACCCCACTAAAGAGGCCAACCATCACTATAGACAACGAGCCAAAGGTAAAATGGCTTTCTCAAGACACAGAATAAATAAGTGGCAACAGCAGGATGCAAATTACCATTCTGATGGAAATGTTCCTCTATCCCAAACTGCTATAGCTAACTAAGGAACCTCCAAACTTCCAAAGCCAATCAATATTTTATGTGACTTCTGGTTTTGGACACTACTGACACCTGCTCCTTCATGAAATTCCTTCTTTCCTCAGTTCTTACAACATCTTATTTCTAACCAACTTCTTTTCCTATTTCTTCCCAGTATCTGCTTCCTCAGAACACCTTTCAACTACTGGCATGTTCCCCCAAGTTCTACCACTGGCTTCCTTCCTTCTCACTCTCTATGGTCTCCCTCGTTAACCGCCACTTACATGCTGGTGGTTCCTAAATCTACAGTTTCCTTCTTCACCTCTCCACTGAATATCATAACTTTACGTCCAACTGCCTACTGGCTATCTCCACACCTAGACCCATCTCAACATGTTCAAAACTGAACTCATCTCTCCCAACACTCTGAATACTTATTTCATCACTCTCCTTTTTGGTGACCAAAACCAAAACCCAGACTACTCTCTCACTCATCCTTCTATAACCAATCCATCTCTCTAGGTCCTCTTGATTACACAATCCACCTCTCTGGTGTTTCCTCTCTTCTTCATTCCCTATCATTGTCTCATCATTGCAGTTCAGTTACACAAGTTTACTAAATTAAAACGCATCCCTGGACTCCTTTAAACCTTCCTAGTTAGTACTTGTACCCCCAATTTTACTCCTCTCCAATTCAAACTCCAGATTGCTAGCAGAGGGACCTATCTAAACTCTACCCTTTCACTCCCCTGGCTGAGATCTTTTCAGTTATCTGAAGCTGATTACCAGGTATCAGAAAAAATTCCAAGCTCCAAAGTACCAGACCCTTCAAGATACAGGTCCTGCATCCCTTTCTACCTTTATCTTTCCTCCATTACTCCCTTCACAATATATATTCCAGCAGCACCTAGATCTCTGCTACATGCCACTTTACGTCTCAGTAACATTCCCTCTGCCTGGAATATCCTTCAACAATAAAAACCCAATTTTTTAAAAGCCCATCTTTATCCATCTGAACCATCCTCAGTCTACATCTCCTCCATAAAACCCAACTCTCTTGCCTCACCCTGAATAAAAATAATCTTCTATAAGGTATTTATGCCTCATGCATAAGTCTTTCATTGCCTGTGTTGGTTACGTTATACCATCATTTTCTGTCTACATACAGGCAGGCCCCTATTGGACTCTATCCTTCTCGAGGGTGATGACTCACAAGAAGCTTGCGCATAATATATATTCAGTACAGTTTGCTGAACTGAACCCAAGTGTCTACAGACAAATCCAGCAGTTATTTCCAAAGCATCAAAGCACTTGGATTCTCAAATAAAAATAAGCAGTATTTTTCTAGACCACAATACTACCTGGTATTCAGAAATTATAAAGAAATTTCTTCCTGCCTTGCCACAAATAGAACTGGCACAGCAATCCTCTGAGAGGTGAGCACAAATCTTAAAGATAATATTAAATTATAGTGGACACACCAGTCAATGCTAAAAAGGATACACAGCAAGACTCAAGTTCAACAACCGCATTAATCTCACTCCAAGAAGCAGTCAGCTTGGCTCAGCTAATGAAGAAAATAAAGGAATAAGTAATATTTGTCTCTGAGGCTACATGATAAGGAGTAGATCTAACTAAAATCCTTCTCGTCCCCAAGGCTGTCCAACATAACCAAAGTGAGTTAACAACCTATTCCAATAAGTTGTTTTGTTGGCACATAACACATACTAATACATGCTTGCTGAACTGTCACACTCCTTGGCTCATTCTACAGAATATGTGTCCCAGACCCAAGAAAGAAAGAACATTTAAAATCACTCATTGATTCCATAAAGAATGTTTCAGACCAAATGCCAGTTTAAAAACATATCCCTGGTTTTTTTTACATGATGTGAGTGGAAAAAGAGACCAATAAAGTTTGTTCTGGAAACAAACAAACAAAAAACATATCCCTGTTCAATCAAGCAGCCAACATAGTTTTTTAATTACAGAAGGTGAGAGAACAAGCACTCAGGAACCACAGAGGGTGCATAACTGGATTATTGTTTACTTCTAGGAGTGTAAACACATCTAATTTTTAAATCTTAAAATGGTGACAAGGATTCTCTATTCAGTTATATGTGCCATCCAAATCATGACCTCAGCCAAGTTTATAGGCGAATCGATTAAGGAGTATACTCACAGCTTTGTTATCAATATAATAATGAAGATGATACGTACATTTGATGCAAGTAAAATGTAACATTTCAAGGTCAAAGCTCTAACAAAAGAATAAGCAATTTCCAGTTGAAACCTCTGAAGATTCCCATTTACTAAAAAAAACTCCTCAGAATTCTATATTCTTGTTTCTAGGCTAATCTAGAAGTAAATAATTGTATTTTAAGAGAAGAGTGACAAGATTTAATTGCTTACCAGGTTTGATGTTAAGCAAGTCATTCATACTGCATTATTTTCCAAGTAGCATTTATATCACCTTGGCTTTCACATAAGGCCAAATATCTTCCTTAGTTCCAATAAAAACAGATAAATATAAACTACCTACCAAAAACTACAGTAACATACTCATGCATTTCATAAAGAGAATCTTAAAAGTCCTTGAAATTTGTAGGTCAATGACAAAGTAAATTGAAGTTCTTTGAGCAAAGGACTTTGCAGAGATTCAATGTGTTTATTATATTGTGAAGTTTTAAGCCTAGAGTTTCTCTCTCTCTTAAGAGTTCTCTCTCAAGCGGTGGCACATGCCTATGGTCCCAGCTACTCGGGATGCTGAGGTAGGAGGATCCCTTGAGCCCAGGAGTTCAAGGCCAGCCTGGGCAACACAGTGAGATCCCACCTCTTAAAAAAAAAAGACTTCTCTCTTAAAGAGTTTTAAATTACCTCCCTAGCTCGATGTTTAATATTTTAAATCTTAGCTTCTGTGAGATACTATTAATAGCTAACATTTACTGAGTACTCAATGCTTTGAGAGGCATTATGCTGAGTACTTCATACTCTATCTCATGTTAAATTTTTTTTTTTTTTTTTTTTTTTGAAGACTCCCAGGTGGTTTGCTTTTATTGGCCTGGTCTGGGGGAGGGCTTGCAGGAGGTGTGGGATATTACCAAATGATTATCAAGTGTTTTGCAGTTTTCTGCATTCCCTTCCCCTGATTGGTCCCCCGGCTTCTCCACCCCCAGGAATCACCCTCCTGGCCTACACCCACCACCTGCAGATTTGATCCCTACCTAACATTCCTCCCTGAGAGACATGGAGCCTAAAAATCTTTGGGGGTTAGGGATGAGGGTCCATCTTCCTTGGCTACTTGGAGCTGAACAGGAATGATGTATTTCTCAGGCTCCATGGCCCCTCTGAAAAGGGACATAGGTGGATGGTGTGTATAGTGAGGTCAAGTGGCTCCAGGGGTATCAGTGGAGTAAGTTGTGTGGACTCTTGTCCTGGGTCAGGGTGGAATCCTTGGGCCAACATAAGTTTCATACAGAACTGTTGGAATCTTCTTTGAAGAGAAGTCTCAGCCCTTCAGTTGGCTCACATTCATACATGTCTGTTGTTTCAGCACCCTCATTCATTTCTGAGTCCTGCATAGGCATTCACCAGTTTGACTCTTGAGATGTGTACGCAGCTCTTGATCCCCTTAAATTTGACTCCTTCTGGTAGGGCTTCCATCAGTGTCCACGACCACACAGGAGGAGGATGACAGGGGTCTGCCTAAGGTTTTTTACAACCGAACAAGTGGCTCCTTACTGGAGTTGGCAGGATATTTCCTTCCTGGGTTTCGGCACCAAATGTTAGGCCTATCTCGATGTTCCCCGGTTCTTGGTTCCCAGCGTCAACTACTTAAAGAGTAGTTATGGTTATGATCATCATTTTACAGATGGAGAAATCAAGGTTCAGAGAGGCTAGTTTACTAGAGTAAGGGGCAAAGCCCAGATTTGACCTTAAATCAAGACTCTCAAGGGAAAAAAGCAAAAGGAAAAAAAACCCTTATAAACTATTTTTAAAGACTTGTTTCTATACAAAGTTGGGGGTTTGGGAACGCAGTCAACCAATCCATGTTTCACCAAACACCCTAAATACAAAATCTCTGGTAAATGAGTACTATGAGCCAGGTTAGGAGAGAGACATCGGAAGTAATACATTAGTTTACACATCAAAACGATACTATGCATTCATCAACACAGACCAGAAGTCCCTGACTTCTTCAATATCCAATGTACAATCTAAAACAATGAATAAATATAAGCTATTATTATCATCAGTATTATGCAGAACAAGGTCACTGAAATCCCAGCCCTATCCCTAGGGTTCCCCCACCAAAGCCCTAACCCCACTTCTCTGGTGCCTGTGAGCTTCGCCAGAGGAAGGGGTAAAGACAGACAAGACGATATCAA